ATATAGTATAATAATATTCATATCACGAGTCGGTAAGGAAAAAAACACAAATGTTTTATCAACATTTATTATTTTACTTTTACTAGGAATAAGATGAATCCAGTGAACTTATAACAATTGTTTCCGTGTTTTTTTCCCTGTTTTTATAATCTTTTGTAATTTTTAACCAATTTCCGGAATTGTTGTAACCTACCCGGGTCGACTGCTAATTAGGTTCTTTCGTGGGCTATTTTTTTTTTTTTTTTGCAAGACCCATTAATTAAGGAGTGAAGTGTAGTCGATTCTTTGCAAAATAATATTATAGAGCTAAATTTATAAAGTATACTTAAAAATACAGCAATGTGGATTTTTTTTTTTTGGTTGTTATTTTTTTGTCAGACCAATGACCATCAGTCACAATGTTGAAAAAGTTTAAAAAATGTTAATCAAATTGATTTGCATGGATCAAAACCAAAGTGTCTTAAAATTTTTGTAAAATCAACAAATATTCACAGTAAATAAAATATAATTTTAACTGTGCTTAAGCGTTTTTAAGATGTCAACAACTCAATGCACTCTTAAGTACTTACATTTAGCACAAATCATATTAACTTTTGTACGATTTGTTTATTTGTAGATTTGGCATAGTAATAAAGTACAAACGCAAAATTAAAGAAAAATAATTGATTAAGATATTATTGAACAATTCACTAAAATTGAATAGACTAAATATTTATAATGATTTTATAACTATTTTACTACTATTTATTTTATTTTTATTTTTTACTATATCATTATTAAGTATATAAGTAATGCACATGATAATAGATAATATAACTTATTTAAAATATCAGATTTTTTTTATTGTATTTATTTATCAAAACTAAAATGTTTCAGCATATTACATGCTATTACAAGTTTTCTTAAATATCAGATTTATGAGCAAATATCTTTCGGAAGTAAAAATAAATTAAATATCGGATGATGGCACTAACAATATATGATTGTTTATTCAAACGTCAACTTACAATGTGTCGTTTAGCTGTTATTTAAAGTGTTTTAAACATTTTTAACACAAGTTAAGGACAAGTTTAACATTTTTCCCGCCAAACTTAAAAAAGTTTAAATGAGTAAAAATAAAATAAAAACATTCGGTTGATATAATATTTGCAATATAAACTATATACTTCTTTATTAAACATTAAAAAATTACGACTTACCCCATAAAACCATCCTTTAATATAGTAGTGTTAACTTGAAAACGTGATATTATTCTAGATCTTTTATTACAATAACGGTTTTATTACACAAAGTTTTTATCCCAGAAAACTCAGAATAAAATATTATTGTACATGTTTTTATGGCGCGCAATAAACAGAATCGATTTTTAATTGAACGCAAATATTAATTAATTAGCTTATTCAAGTGTTTGCTTAAAATGTGTGTATATTAAAATAATATCCAGCAACACGGTAATGGCACAAAGCTTAGTATTAAAAAAAAATCGTAGCGCTCGTGAATGTGTGTGTATATATTATATACGAAGCAGAGCAATCTGAGTTAACCGATGTAAATTTTAAACATTATTTTGCGCAAACATTGCGACCAATTTTTTTTAATGGTGCAGCTGATTTTTTTTTAGCAGAACTATCTTTTAACTAACTTTTAGAGAAACTATCAATTGTTTATGGCATACATTATGATTGTGTTAATTTTCTGTACCATAAAACTTGTACTAAAAAATATTATTACAATGTAAAAGTTTTAGTTCTTTACACCTTTGAGTATTATACTACCCGTGCATAGTGGACTTTTGGATTTTTCGTTAACTATATAGTTGTCCCAACTCCCAAACGACCTATAAATCTTTCACGTTGTCGAAAACCGCATTAAGCATGCAAACAAAAATTGGAACGAAAAGTGTTCTCATTTTATGGGATCTAAAAGAGTTGTTAAAAAAAATAACTGATACAAGTTCAAAAAATTGTAAATAAGTTTACTCAGTTTGTTAAATAAATTGTGAAAGTTCTTTACAAGATTGTGGCTAAGTTTTTTGTTATTGAGATCCTCTGTCAATAATTATATTTTGACACTTCAGATTTATTTGATGGGTTTCTGTTTCAATTATTTTCATGCTAACGAGTCGTGGGTTTTTTTACTTAATGAAGATTGACAAGTCATTGGAGCATAATTTACACTTAAAACAACATTCTTCCCGAGAATTGCGTTTTGCTCTTTGTTCAGAGGCTTATCATGGCAGTGGCACAGGAAATAATACAGACTACGGAAATTATCTTTATGATAGTACAGAATAAATTTGTAATTATTGTGTATTTGTAATTTTGAAGGGAAAATCTGTTGTCTTGTTCTTGTGAAGTATAAATAATTGTATAAATGAAAAATATATTTATATCGAGGTTTAGCTGAATTGTGTTTATTCACCCGTGGATTTGTCAAAACCTAATAAAAAATGGTTTTCTTATTAGTATTTTATATGATTGTGCCCTTTCGATCCTATATTAAACATTTAATTATATTATATTATTTATACAAGCATCAAGAGATACATCAACCTAATATTTAAACATTATATCAAGTATACTTATACAAAATATACAGTCATACCTGCCATTCAACAAATATTATCATAATTAAATACAGTCAACTCGATGACTATATTTAATCGATGAATTCAATCAGGTTAAATTATATTAATTTATTTTTATATATACGGGACTGGTACAATTCAATTAATGAACAACAAATAATAATTTTAATATAACTGCATAGTTTATTTTGAACTTAATTGTAACTAAAACTTGTTCTACGGATTGAGAAGAAAATGTTTTCAATGTAGTTAAAAAAAACAAAATTTTCCTAATCAAAAACTATACCAAAGTAACCATACTAAAGTTATTAAATTACCATTTTTATATTTATTGCGCCTATTATAACATGTGTGGATTAATAGTAGCTATCCTGTTTGTTGTTTTATACAGCAGCGTAGCCATATGGCATCTAGTGACGACAAATAGGGTTTTAACGTATCTACTTATTAATGTTATTTAAAATTTTTAGAATTCGTTTTTTGGGGAATTTTTAAGCTTATCTAAAACATAAACAATGGAACCAACATTTGGTCCTGAACTTTCAAGTATATAAAGTCAAATAAACTATACCATGCTTACATCGTGATAACAAGTTTAGGTAAATAACCCGGTTTTTATTTTCGAGAGGTACGATAATATAATAATTTTACTTGAACCGATGCCATTTTGTTCCGGGTCGTTAAATTTACGGTTAAATGTCACTTTGTTTAATAATAATATAGGAGACATTTTGTCCGTTTCGTGTTTACCTTCATTTTATATTACAACATTGTACCTATTTTGTTTTGGCTACGGTTGTGGCTTCGGTGATTTTAGACATGGCGAATGATATTAATTATAAAAAGCATAAACGGCGATAATTGCTATTGGCAATTTTTCTTTTGCGACAGAAACAGTTGCTACATTCTCTGTTTTAGATGTTTGTTTGAATTGGCCGTGACGGGTTAAAAGAGCCGGTCGTGTACAAAGCTCGATCTGTACTATACACATACATATCACATGTTTTCTTGGTTAAGTGCTATTTATTTTTTCTACACTCGTATACGGTAAGGCCGACACACAAACAACGGATACGCTGCTAGACGCGTGCTTAGATTTATTCAACAAAACCACTCTCTCTCTAAACGCCCATCCGCGTCTTAGATACCGACGTTTAAAACTCGAGCAGTTGTAGTTTTGCCCTTCCAGACGAACTTCTACACACACTATAAACGCATTCCCGGGATCTGCTGGCTACAATCCAGCTACCGCGTTTGTCATAAAACAAAATAGCCCGACTAAATTGTTATACCGTCGAATTAATTAAACGCACGCAAAATATACACTTGGCCTGAACTGTAAAATCATATTATGTACATTGACTGTGACTAACTTATTTAAACGCCCGTACAAGAGGGTAGGAGGCATAGCAGCCTATGGCTCTAACCCCCCCCCCCCCAAAAAAAAAAAGGTTCAATAGTCAATTCATTGCGTGTAGAAGAAAACTGATAATACAGGGGAGAAAAAAGCTTTGCTAATGAGATTTAGTCAATGGTCCTCCTCAAATCCTGAATTTGCTCCTCAATAACTTATTTCACATATGACTTACTCGATTTGACCTCGTCCCAGGTCTGTGGTCCGTGTGGACAAATACTAGCGTTATAAACAAGCGATATTACGACTTCAATTGGACCATCTTTATTATGGTTAATCTAACCGTTAGACCTTGATGTTATAAAATATAAACACAATTCAGTATAATCTTGTTTTTTTTTTTAATTTTGTCGTTTGAAAACAGTGAAACGCAATACGATTTGTTTAAAGTCTATTTAAATGTCAGTACACAATCGGCGACTCTTCACTAACTAACAAATTCAATGACAATTCAAAAAATAACTACATATAATAATCGTTCTCACTCGCACTCCATTTAGATTCTATAAACGCAGTGCCCGCGTTTATAGGCGAACAGTTACTACTAACGAACCAAACTTGTATGTTTAAAACCGTAAAACTTTCAGCCGGTTCAAATGTGTTTTTATTTGCCTATTCTTTCTCCAGATAAACTTTTTTGTAACTTTGTGCTTACTGTTAATAAATATAGTCCCGACCAACCAAACGCCTACGTATGCGAACAGCATAAAATAGCCGAGACTTGGAATTGTTAGATCTAACAGCATCTGAATAGGCTTGTGTATCAGTCGATGCCTTCGGTCTACAATGTACGCAGTGTGTAACAAGTGATAAAAAATAAACATCGTCTAGAATCGTTAAGTTAGGTTAGGCAGCCAACAAACCTATCGTAATCGTAAAATCGGCCGGATGATTAGTTAAATTGATTTCCACTCTCGGCCTAACGTATGCTATGAATTGCTCAATGTACGTTTAGCAATAAAACATTTTATTGAATTTTGTGTTTTTTTTTACTTGCAGCCGGATAGTGACAAGAATCCAGAAGCAACCGGATATACAGATGAACCACCAGTTCCACCTCCACCACCTCCTTCGAATGGTAAAGCGATAAATTATTTAACTAGACGATTCAATTCAGAAATACATTTTTCCAAAATTATATAATTACGATAAAACCGCTTCCACAAGTATTAGACATTTAACTGCGTTTGAAATTTTAATTGAGCACCGTCATGGAATATTCATTGAAAAATTGAGCGAAAAACTTATGTACTATGTTATTTGAGATATCTAAAAAAAAAATTGATGTTTTTTTATTTCTGAACTTTTATGTGCGCAAGTTTTTTTTGTATAATAATATTTAGCTGAAGTATACATAATTAAAAAATTGTCTTATTTAAAGTTCGTTGTATGAATAATAGTTTTTTAGATTCCCCATTTAGTACACCAATTATTAATAACTTTCAAACAATTCTGTTTAAAATGCTACACCATGTACTTTATATTATACTCTTATCGATCAACACTAAAGTCTGACCAAATTTTAACCCATTCTGAAATAGTCAGGGTTTTGGCCGGATCGATTCCACGTGGAATGCTCCATGTCCATTGGATAATTTCTCATGAGGGCACAATATCGTAATAGTTTCTGAATATTTCAAAGTGTACTCTATTAGAGCTGTCATTGAAACTAGAGAATTCCATTTGTTTAGTATTACAAAGTTGTTATATACAGTAAACGCATAGTACATAATAACATGTCAACTTGCATCTATCATAGTATAATCAGTGAACTAGGGTGTGTTTACTTTTGCAGCGAATCACGAGTATCAGGTGGCAAACCTCAAAGGAGAAAAGGGAGATCCGGGCCTCAAGGTAAATATACTTTTGCGTTTATCATGTGTGCACCTATATTTTGTTATGCGAACATAATTATTACAAATGTGTCACACGGGCACAAAACGTTAGGCAATAAACCATTTAGCATGCACCGACGCGGTATTCCGGTGTCGCTCGTTAGCATATCAATATTGATCTCGAGGAATTAATGGTTTCCCGGTCGTCCGTAATAATAACAATAATTGGTTGACATTAATATGTTTTGTTACAGGGAGAGTCGATCCGTGGACCACCAGGACCTCCGGGTCCCCCAGGAACACCGTTTTCCGGTGACTTTGCCATCGACGAACAAGTGAGTAAAACGCCATACATAGCTTTTCAAATTTGTAAAAATTATGAACATTTATTTACTGTCTGAACGTGAAAATGACCTCAGTGTTTGCCGCAGCTTTAATAATTATACTATCTTAATGATGATAACAATTATTATTGTTACTCCCATTCGGCGACGGCAAGCGCAGTTAACATTAAAACGTCAACCGAATGAGACGGGTTCAGTTTAAACTGACAACATCCTTTCAGACAAGCGCCGGCACATATTTCTCGTATTTCTGATGAGTTTTCCTGTAATTACTCGAAATCAAATCGTATCCGTTCATTAAGATTTCACCATTGTAAACGGGCTTTACAATGTTAATGTTGGCGACGACATCGGTGATAGCGACGTTTTGTTTAATATAAATGAACCTTTTGTCACGTCTAGTAATGATTGAACAATGCTACGTTTTATATGCGAACAAAAAAAAATATGTTGTACATACTTTAGTATATTGCACTTATTATACAGCACATTGTTTTCGACAAGCATTTGTACAAGTTTTGTATAATTATAGTATAAAAGTATATATATATTTGTCTTGGTAACATATACTGCTACTCTGTTTATCTAGCTCCGTGTCTCCTTCATCGGTTTATCATCTATATAGGCGTTCGACTATATTATTTTCCTCCTTTTTTTTCAACATGTCCAAAACATATAAATCTATTCTCTCTCGTGTACTACTTCACCTGCAATACACGTTAAAATCTGTAATTTTTGGCTGGTTGCATTGTTTCCATTGCGGTTTTTATTTTTCGCGATGGTGGATAAGGAGTCTGAGTTTTTTGCACGTACCACGCAACATGTAGTCGTAACAATTTTAATGTCATAAAAATTCCGCAATCCCGATTTAGTAGTGGGAATAGTTTAACTACACCGAACAGCTTTCAAATTAAATTTAGCGTCGCGCGAGGAGATTGTCTCGTCCTACTATTTTTTTTTGTAACACATAATACCGTACACGTAATTGTTTTTGTAGCCATTTTGTTTTGTGTAAGTTTACCGCGGGAAAATACACTCGCCGTACATCCGATAACATGTGTCCAAGGTGGAACTTATTTCGATATTAAATTCCCATATCTATACAGTTAATATGTCACAGTACGTTGCTAACTCTCAAATGTAGCCTTTTAATTTTATCAATCAAACGAATGACCGACTACTAAGACCTGCGTCCACTATACAAGCGCCCCCCCTCCCCACTACTTAATGAACTGCGAAATAGAAACTAATCCGAGTCCTGTAGCCATAAATTAATTAATTTACCGCCCAATACTCCTATTGTGATTAAATTTGGATAATTAGGTAGCAATCGATTAAGTTAAAAATAATACAGTGCAAACGTGTAAATGTACAACAGCAGTGTAATTTGTTAATAGGAAACTATTATGAAATTATAAAAATTGTACCGTCAAATATAAGGATACAATTTTTTGGTGCCAAAAAAAGGCTAAGTCCGTCTTCAAGGAAAAATAATTTAACCAGAAAAAAAGATTTATTTTTTGTTCGGACTAGAAAACTTAAGTCCCAGACCATTATAATTTAGGTGAGAGTAGAAATATAATTAAATTTTCTATGAATAGAATGCAATAAACCACTTTTAAAAGCTTATCCTGAAAAGTTTAGAAATATTAATTAAGCTCTTTCGCTGTCGCCAAAGAAGAGTAAGTGTCTAGACGTCTTACTTTATAATAATACTTCCTACTTATTATTATTAAGCCTAATTTTAAACATGTAATATTTCTATAGTTTTCTATATTTAAATGCGTTATTATCTTGCAATTTAATACTTAATAGGACGCCACACATGCCGTTTTTTCATGTAAATACAAGGGTTAGAAATCTGTATACACTGATGATTATAACATATTTATCATATGAACATAATGTTGACATTAATAGAAAAATCAAGACTCGTGCTATACTTTCTCGGTGATTATTTTTTGGTTTACACTAGGTTACAAACCAAAAATAATAATTTAATACACTAACGATAACTTGAAATGTTCAAAAAAAAAATGTTTATCTTAATTTTTGTTAAAATTATAATGGAAAAGCGAGAGCCAATTTTCTTAGGAAAACGTTTATAATCGAGATTGTGATAATCTTATTTAAATGTGGTATGTGTCTAAGAAAATATAGAGTTGAAAATATATATTGTTAGCGATTCCCAATACGGAGTTTATTAGAGTACTACAAAGCTAAATAGACTGCCCGGATAATTCTGGCGGATGGCAATACGGATCAGTGCTATATAACTCTACCAAGTCTTACAAATAACTTGAATTCCAATTATATAATCTGTTTTAGCCAACTGTTAGGCTGAAATGTTAATGTTTTGACAAAAGCTAATGTATAACAATATATAAACTAAAAAAATCTCAATACATACCGGACTACGAGAATTATTCGCACAGCTCAATACAATATGATATTTGCGTAATTTGTTGGGACATTCTTGGGTCGGGCCAACCAAAACCAGTGGCCAAGATTATGTATTACATCGGTTGTCGTTTCCTAAGCTGTGTGCGTCTTATTTAAATTGGCAAAGTTTCGATTTCGCTTCCTCTTGTGTGCGTCGTGTTTGCCGTTATTATATAAAGTTGGCCAAATACTTAGCCCTTCGGCGGCAACTGCACACAACCCGCCTTGGTTTTATGTACGGCTAATACACTAATCCGCTTTTGGACCACGTGCTTCAAATTGCTAATATGCAGTTTTGATAGTGCGTCCGACGCTGTGCCTTTTTACCCGTCGGTTGGACGAGGCGCGTGCAAATCAAATTCTGCAAAAACTATATTGCCAACAAAATTAATAATTCATTGTATATGTATAATTATTGTATAACTGCAAGTATATGTATATGCATATATATTGTGATTTCAGCTCGTCAAGGCCGGAGTGGTAGGACCCAGAGGTCCACCTGGAGTGTGCAGTTGCAACCTGACTACGCTTTTCGCCCCAGGAAATATACCGGAGTTGTTACCGGGACCGCCGGGCAATCCGGGCACCGACGGCAAGACCGGGTTGACTGGACTACCGGTGAGTACATACACATATGTTAGACTACAGGCATATCTTTATAGTTTAAATTACAAAACCGATTTCTGACAACACAACGAAGGACGGTCTCGGAGGGTCTCAGACCCTCGGACTCGGATTTCAGTAAAATTTTCCATTTGTATGTTGTTCTGTTAGGGATTGTGAGAAATCAAAACGGTATAAAATAAGATTTTATAAAAATAATAACCATTTTACAAGAGAGCAAAAATACAAATTAAATTTTAACTACATGTTTTACATGGTTTGTGTGAATTCATTTTTGCAATATCTCTTTCGAAAATGTCCTTCCTTTCTTCGTGGTTTTCGGCCTTCAACCTTTCAACAATTTTTTATAATAATTACAAAACAAATACATATAGAAAAATGTCATCTCATTGATAAAATACAGTAAGTCAGTTAAGTTTTTGAATACATTTTGTGTAAAACAAACATTTTAATATGAAACATATTAAATTCTGTGATACTAAAATGAATATTAGCTGTTATAAATCGAATTAAATATTTTTATAATACATTTTAAAACACTACTTACCTACCTAAATAGCCAATCTCCAAAAATTATGTTGTGTTTGGCTAAATCTGACTTGCCTCTTTCTTGTCAAAGTATTACATAATTCTTCGTTTAATTACATTGTTCTATTAAAATCACGATATATTTTTTTAATAAGAGAGGCTGTACGTTTTTAGTTTTTAACTGTTAAATTTGTTAAAGGTCACTATTATAACAAGGCAAAGACCCTTTAAATGGTCCAAAGTTCCTCGAAATTATTTGTAAACGTTTTACATTTTCTATATAGTATATACAGCCTAGACCTACCACGGACTGTTGATCACATTTATTTTAGAGTACTCTGATAAATGCAACCACCATGTTTTTATTACAAAACAAACATTTATGTTTACCGAAATAAACAAACTTAGCCAAACCGTTTTTTAAACTAGAAACTTTTTATCTCTTTTTAGTGAGATAATATTATATTATAGTACATTTTGCTAAGGGTAAACTTTTATTTATTAGTTTTATTACAAATAAAGGCCGACTTTGTATAAGTTCATTTAAATAAATGTTTGGTATTCAAATTCACCCTATTCCTTTAAAAAAAAAAAAATTATAATCACCATTTAATATAGGTATATCACCAACAGAATACCAATACTTATATATTGCACACGGTTGGGATTAAAGGCGGTTAAATGACCACTGGGGAATTGGCAAGTACGTACTCTTGCATTAAAATAATAACGCTAAATAGCAATTTTAGTCGTTTCCAGAGCACATTCTGAGATTATATATATAATAGGACGGGGTAATTTCCAATGGGCATTATTATGGTGGGCTTAGCTGTAAAATAAAATAAATTGTTGTTGTGTATGGTTGTAACAATAAAACAGCACATAACATAATTTACATTGATTAAATGTATTCTGTGTATAAATTTCAAAAAATATCAATATGAAATGAAGTTAAAATTTCCATTTTAGTCGTTTTGTATTAAATTCCACGTATATAATATGTCTGTTATAAAGACATTGGCTGTCGAGAACCATAGAGTTCTTGATTAAATAATACATTTACAATAATAATATAATATTATGCATATGAAGGGTCTCTAGCCGTTTCGAAAATTATACATAATATTATTTGTATGTAAATTTATCAAAACAGCACTCGAAGTATTAATCTCAATAATAAATTGAATTATTAAGATTTATAATTACTGTACATGAAAGTTGAAATGCATGTATGTAATGATAAAATATTGCGTAAGGGCTTTTAAATTAGAAATAGTGTAATTTTTTTATCCAATACTTATTTTTCTTGTTAAATTCGTGTAAATATATATATATATACAGGGTGTCCCATTTTAAAATACTAATCGATTTTTCTCTAAAAATACTGATCCAATCAAATAGTTGCTTATTAAAGGCTTTTAGAGTACAAAGGGGGACGTTATAAAAAATTAAAAAATAGGGTTTAAAATTCAAAATGGCCGACTTACGGTCAAAAATATGTTTTTTTTAAATGGAAACCATGTATTTTTCGTTAACCAAAAAAATGTTCTTATCAAAACTAACAACTTTTGTAGAAATTTTTTTTCGAAAAACCCATCATTTTTAAATTAGGTATCTTTAGCTATTTTTAGTTTTGATATTTTATTTTTATACATATGGTAACCTTGTCATGTGTAGTAACCTTGGTATGTGTGGTAACCTTGGTATGTGTGATAACCATGGTTTTTGTCTTTGCGATACACAGAAAAGAGGATAACGTTAACGTTAAAGATAATGATAATGTAATGGTAAGGTTAGGTTAGGTTAGAAAATTATAAACATACCACAGTTACCACATAAATCAAGGTTTCCACTTATATCAAGTTATCACACATGTCACATACCATAGTTACCTCACAAACCAAGGTTACCACACAAACCAAGGTTACCACATATACCAAGGTTACTACACATGACAAGGTCACCATATGCATCAAAATAAAATAACAAAACTAAAATTAGCTAAAGATACTTAATTTAAAAATTATGGGTTTTTCGAAAAAATGTTCTACAAAAGTTGTTAGTTTTGATAAGAACATTTGTTTGGTTAACAAAAAATACATGGTTTCCATTTAAAAAAAACATGTTTTTTAATGTAAGTCAGCCATTTTGAATTTTGGACCCTATTTTTTAATTTTTTATAACGTCCCTCTTTGTACTCTAAAAGTCTCTAATAAGCAACTATTTGATTGGATCAGTATTTTTAGAGAAAAATCGATTAGTATTTTAAAATGGGACACCCTGTGTATATATATAAATGTATACAAATTTTTTTTAATGTTTCCATTGCAACACTAAACGAAGAGACGTTTACAGTGTTAAACTTTTTTACCGATAATGACATTCATGACGGAAAAATGTCAGAGATTTATTGTATAATGCAATACGTGACACAACACGTACATGTATAATATTGTTTATATGATTAATGAAATATTTTAAATTTGTGCGAAATCTCATTTGAGTTTAATACTATTATTATAATAATATACAAAATGTAAAATAATATATACATTTGTATGTACAAATATATATGTATGTATATATATATACATTATTTACCAGTATGATAAGAAATGAAGAGTGAAAGTGCCAAAGTATAAAAATTGTACTTTATAATTTGATTTGTATTTTATTCATTACCCGAAACAATTTTGTAAATTTTTCAAGTAAAGAATAGTTATTTATAAAAAAATCAATCATATTTAAAACTCAAAAATATGTTAAAGTGTTTTCGGTAATGAATAAAATACAAAACAAATTATAAAGTTAAATTTTTATACTTTGGCACTTGGAACATTTGACACTTTCACTCTTCAAATATTTTTCAACATTCTATTAAGAATACTAGATAAATGTTTACAAAGTTAACGTCATCGTATTAATGACCATATTAAAATAAAGAATTTAACTTTGATTTTGTAGGGCCCAGCAGGACTACCGGGAGAACGTGGGCCCGAAGGATTAAGAGGTAAGCAGAATGAACAGTTTTTATTATTATATTTTGTTTTACATTAAAATGCAATAATATTTTTAAAAACAATTAAAATCGTGAAGAAAAGTTTTATATTTAATATATTTTTAAGTTTTTAATCATAATTTCTTTAGTATTTGCTTTACTACCGACGAACTTTTCAAATTTGTAATTTTATTTTAACACTGTCACATTTTAACAATTAGTTTAGAGTCCAAGATACTCATTTTAAACATTAATATTTTTTCAAAAATTTTATAATAGGATGCTAATTGGTTGGTATCATATTTTTTAATCAAAATATATATTATTTTATCCAAACTATAAAAAAAAGGTACCCAAAATACATTATGTGTTATATTAACTAGAATTAGTTTATGTTAAATTTAAATGTTGACATAAAAAACTTCTCGCTTTTTATTCACTCAGGTACTTTTTTTTGTCTATTGCTGAATATTGTAAAGTGGTTGTAAAATTCAAGTTATATTTGCACCGGACCTCTAAACTGAGTTAATATTGTTGTATTTAAATTCCATATAGAACACAATATTGTGTCATTTTTAGCTTCATTGCGTTTATCATTACAAAAAAATGATATGTTTATTTCTTTATACATACATGTTGCCAAAAATTAAATCTATACATTTTGCTGACATTTTTTTTTAAGGTGAAAAGGGCGATCGTGGAGACGTTGGTCCTCGGGGTAATGAAGGATTGCAAGGACCTAAAGGTGAGTGGATAAACAATTTATTAAAGATTTGAAATCATTTTTTTACCTGATAAATGTACTGTTTAACACAACAAATTCTGGGATAATCATATATATTTAAAAAAAATACAGGTGATCCGGGTGTTGATGGAGAGAGAGGTTTGCAAGGACCGCCTGGTCCTCCAGGACCACCGGGAAATGGAGATTTTTCAAGCAATGATGTAGGTTTTATCGGATATTTATACCATTATCATGTTTTGTTTATAAATTGTTTTAGATTGCATGTCTAAAATAAAAATAAAATAATGCTTGAAATTATGAAATGCTTTAAATGAGGGCATTATACAAACATGTAATAAACTAGGTTTGCGTAGTAACGCACAAATTAAAATTATTTTAAATATGTTTTTTTAACGCTAACAGCCAAATTGGAAACCCAGACCAATTTATAAGGTAGGTAATTGGTTTTCATAATAATAATAAGATTTTGTATTTAAAAAATTAAAATATATCATACAGTATTTAAGTAATAAATATATACATAAATTATCATATATTTAAAATATAGTCATTTTTATAGGATATTGGATTCGAGTCTAATGTAGGAAGACCTGGGCCTCCGGGGCCAAAAGGAGACCCTGGTTTGGATGGTTTGGCGGGCTTAAAAGGTAAAAAATATATCACAGTATAAATTACCGTATAGTAAAAATGATTTAAATAAAATAATAAATTTAAAGAAATTATCTTAATTATAATTTAATAATTTTTAAAAATTAAAAAATATATATACTTCTAATAACAATACTTAAAACAATAGGTGACATTGATAAACTCATAAATAAAAAAATTAAATTAAAATTTTGTACAAGATGATGTATTTATAAATAATATTTCCAATGACAACATTTATTGATAATTTGGACAATCAATGAGTCTAATATAATTAAGATTATGATTGATACTTGTATCGGCTTATATTTTTTTACCCATCTCTGCTTAACAGAACAATGAATATTGTACCTCAATTTTATGTAAACTAATTTTTATATCGAGACAATGAAATTATATTTTAAGTCGACGTTTTTTATAAGGATGGTGTAAAAAAAAACAGGTGTTAAAAGCACTACAAAATTTAATAAAATTCGTGACACTGTATATCGTTTAAGTTTTAATTTAACTCGTGTAACGAAACAATCAAATTATAATTTATTAAAATAAAAATTTACTTTTAGCCAACAACGTCAGTCAACACTGTAATGGTGTTATTATGATTTCAAAAACATTTAACACGTTTGTAATTATTATAGTAATAAAATAATTTTCTTTAAAACTATCAAGGTGTAAAAGGCGTCCAAGGAAACAAAGGTGCTCGAGGTGAAGCTGGCGCGAAAGGCAGCAAAGGAGATAAGGTAATGCACTTATGTATTTTGGTATCCTACCGTTGTTTTAAAATATTTAAAACGACATCGCAATTGGATGTATTCTTTCGTAATTGACAATCTGATGGACATAAATATACACGTCATGTACAACAGCTACAATACTAGCGTTCCAAATTAGGTATATTGTTTTCATATGATTTCCCATTCATACTATCTAACTCGAACAACTTACATGAATAATAATTTTTTAATTTAATTAAATTGTGCTAGCACTCGAAGTACAACGTGATAAGACCAAAATTTCAATGAAATTATAAGTTTTGTAGCTTTATCTTAAGTTGTAACTGTACATTAATAGAATAAACTGTTTTTAATCACAACTGTAATAATAATAAAGGATTTTATTAAGCGATTGTAACCAATTTGTATAAATTAAATTAAACACAATTTTTTTAATAATACGTATTTTATTAATAAATCGAAATATTTAAGTAAACATTTTCAGTTAAAATAGTTTTTTTATAGCAATGATAAAATTCTCCATTAACGATAGATAACTGTTTATTCACAATGTTATAGGGATATGCTGGACCTACAGGACCACAAGGTTTAAAAGGTGAGTATTATAAATTATAATTATTATTTCCTGTGAGATACGCCAGCTAAAATATAATTGTTAGAAATGTTAGTTTTTGCCAAAATTAGCAATTGAGGAAACAACATAATCTATTTTTTAGCTAATTCAATGAAACACATTTATAATTTAGTTAAAATAAACCGAATAAATTAAATGAATTTTATTGTTTAATTAAGGTGAAAGAGGGCAGCGCGGTTTTGACGGAACTCCAGGGTTGCCTGGCGAAAACGCACGTCCAGCACCCAAAGGCGAAAAAGGTAAACTATTTAATAATTTGTTTTATAGTAGGTGTATTTTTGTATAAAACAAAATTTCTGCAGATAATCATAATTATCTATGAAAAAATTGAAAGGAAATTGTAGTAGTTAGTTTGTTTTTTTGGATATAGTAATAACATGTCAAGTTGTCTTCAATTACAATAATTTCTAAGACCGTTTTTTTGTTGTGTATAAAGTAGTTTGAAAATATTGAAATCTCTTTTTAGCACTACTCAATCGTAATGTTGATTTATTATTATAGGAGATACTGGAACTCCTGGTCCACCTGGACCACCTGGACTTCCAGGTTCTTCCTCGTTAACCGAAAAATTAGAAAAAGGTAACACTTTTCTTAATAGAAGAAAGAGAAAAATATAATTATATGTTGGGTGATATTTTTATTTTATTCATATTCATTTTTAATTAGTCGGCACAGCAGTTGTGAAAATGCCAGTTAAAGGTGACAAAGGGGCGAAAGGGGATCGTGGAGAAAAAGGTGCTTCCGGTAACTTAGGTCCAAGTGGAAACCCAGTGAGTATGAATAATTAAAATGGGACAAATTATGTGGTGCTTTAAATACTGAAGCTTCTAGGCAGAGATCATAACATAGTAATCTCATCTACCGAAAAAAAAAATGTTTTTATTTTTATTAAAACATAGTGAAAATAATATTTAACTCTTTGTATAAAAAAAAAAAATTCAGAATATTTTAAAGCGGTTAATTTTAAACCTTACTTTCTGGAAACGTATACATTATTCTATAAAAACAGTTTTTGATTTATTATGTGTCTTATATTGGCGATTATTGTTAATGTTTACTGTTCGTGTTTAGGGTCCACCTGGATTAACGGGTCCAAAAGGCGACCGAGGCGAACCTGGGCTACCTGGTGTATCAACAGGAGTCAGTGTCAAAGGAGAAAAAGGTAACACTAATATTATACCGTCACGATATTCATAGCAATAATCTGTATTGCTAGTCCTTCTCCTAACACTCTAGCTGCATTAGTTGTCTTTGCAAGTACTTCACCTACAGTACATATTATTAGGTCATCTCTATTCTATTATAAGCCGTTTCTGAATATTAATATACCACATTTGCTGCTATGTAAACACGATATTGTTAAAGAATATCAACTTATCCAGACTCAACGTTGTAAAAGGGCTAACGAACTATGTTATACCCTCGTTTCGAAGGGTTTTGTATAAGTTATTTAAGACTAAGATACAAGGCAAGATTTTGTGATAGCCAAATAATATGTATTGGATGTTTATAAAATTAACTAGTACTTATCGTTAGTTTAATAGTATAATAATTATCCAAATAAATTAAACGTTTTTTATAAATTATTTTAGGCGATATGGGAAAAAGAGGAAGACGCGGAAAGCAAGGTAATCAATCGATAACTTATCATTAACATAATTGTTTTTTTTATGAAAACTATGAATAAACTAATATAAAATGTAAAATTAGTGTGAGTTAAGTCACGATAATAGACCAACCCTGTTTGCATAATGAGAAATTATAACAAGGAGAAGGTGGATTTTCGTTTTGAAACTATTTTAATTATTTTCATTAAAAAAAAAAATATACTAAGAAATTAATTACAGTTTAAAAGTTAATTTAAAATATTTTTGTAGGCCCTGCAGGTCCACCGGGTCCTCCTGGAGAAATCGGACTTCCTGGACTAAGTGTAAGTTTATATTAAAACTCATAATTTAAATAACACAACCTAATGATGTTTTTTGCCTTTTCATTATTTCGGAAAAAAGGAGGACGTAAGTGCATTAATGAAAAAATATGTCTAATTGTTAAACGTAGAATTCATGTTCAAAATACCTCTCATATCTTAAAACATTTATTTAAAATATGATATTTAGCGGTTAAAAAAAAAGCAGCTATAATAGACAACCAAAAACTATTTTGTGTTCAAATCTTATTCAGCAAAAAATCAATGGTGTTTTAAGACCCACAACAGTTAATGAAATTTTTTATAGATTCAAAATTACACAATTTATATTGATTTTTCCGAATATTATAAAAAAAAAAGTATTAACCTATTTTGTTTAATATTTATGTATGTTTTCTTTAAGGGATTACCCGGTAAAGCAGGTGGCTTAAAAGGAGACAAAGGAGATCAAGGATTATCGATTGTGAGTAATTAAATAATTTCGCCAGAATACAACTAAAATATTGAATTTCCATTTGTTTATTTTTTGCTTATATTGGCGTAAATATTTGTATTTTACAGAAAGGTGAAAAGGGAGATCCCGGCAAAGACGGGTTACCCGGCAGACCTGCGGAAGGAGGTACTTATGTTCCTGTTCCTGGACCACCTGGACCTCCAGTGAGTCATATTTGCAATCAATTTAGAACGATTTGTCTAATAATGAATATGATAAATTACAGGGACCACCCGGTGTATCGGTGGAAGGTCAGAAAGGCGAACCCGGCGATCCAGGATTCTCGACGGCGCCTCTCCGAAGTAGTTAGTGTTTAAAAAAATTGTTTTTTGAAAATATGCAGTTAGATATTATGTGATATATGTATAATAACATGTTATATATTTTAGGCCACGTCACTGATCCTGTAGTAGTACCTGGAGCTATGACGTTTCAAAATAAGAAATCAATGTTAAACGTAAGTCTGTCAAAGCGTCAATTATTTTACAACCACATCAAAATAATATTTTGTTTCATATTTTTAGATGACTGATAAAACTCAAGTAGGAACCATTGCGTTTATCGTCGAAGAAGAAGCTCTATTAGTACGGGTTTCGCTCGGTTGGCAGTACATTTCTGTAGGAAACGTTAACACGTGTAAAACCTTGTATTATATTAAACTACTATTTTTTTTTCCAGTTGGGTTCTTTGATTACATCTGGAACAGAAGCGGTCCCCACAAATATGCCAATGCCGACTAGAGCGCCATTAGAATCATCAAACTTGGTGCATAATCATCCGGTAAAAGAAAATTCATCAGTAAGTATATATTTTTAAAATACAATTTGTTTATACTGAGGTCTGACTTTTGACAGTATGCATATTTATATTTGAGGAAATATTCACTAGAATAGAAAGTTTTTTTTAGCGATAACTGTATCATTTTTTATTCGAGTAAAATATGCATAACAATATTCGAATAACAATTATTAATGTTACTTGGTTACAATCTTATTCGAATTATATTTCCCAACTCTGTTCATACCTAATTTTGCACTTGAAATGTTGGATTAGTATTTAAACAAAACACATGTTGATTAATATTAAGAATAATTAACATTCTATATAGTATTTATTGATTTGCTTTATTTTTCGAAAGTTTTCGTACATTTAATGAACTTTTTAGTTTGTACAAAACCATCTATGAACGTATTTTGTTTTGGATGTTGTAATTTATAATAATTTCATTTAAGCACACGCCACAGTTGTATTAATGATTTGTTGTTTTTTTGTTTATTTTTCAGTGGCATCCTAAAATGGTTAGTATAATTATTTTTCTTAAATAGAAATTAAAAAATGACAAATGTAGCTCAACTGGAATTACCGCAAATTAACGATTATAAACACAATATTATGTTTGCCGACAGTTGCGAATAGCAGCATTGAATGAACCGTATTCAGGCAACATGCATGGCGTTCAGAGTGTTGACTATTCATGTTATCGTCAATCCAGAAGGGCCGGACTCCACGGGGCGTTCAAAGCATTCCTGTCGTCTCGACTGAGCAACCTTAAGACCATCGTGCACGAGTCGGATACGGATTTGCCCGTCGTGAATATCAAAGGCGACGTATTATTTAACTCATGGAAAGATATATTCACTGAAAACGGTGCGTTCACGTCGCACCAGCCTAGAATATACAGTTTCAGCGGTAAAAACGTTCTCAGTGACTTCTCTTGGTAAGTCCGTCGTTGCAATAGCGTACATTGGACCCGCTCGAACCTTAGTTAGCCTAGTGTACTTAATATTTTTACAAACATTGATTTAAACGTCATATTGACATCATATTTTCCAGGCCTCAGAAAGTCGTATGGCACGGTTCTACTACTTCGGGCGCCAGCGCAGTAGACGGCAACTGTGACGCTTGGAACTCGGAGAGCGTTGAAAAACACGGATTGGGTTCGTCGCTGGTGCCCAGGTCGAGTTTACAGGCCAAACTATTGGATCAAACTACTTACGATTGTCGAAACTTCTTTGTGGTGCTGTGCGTGGAAATCACACCGCATTCGGGCGCCATGTTCTCGAGGAAACGCAGGAGTGGACGTCACGAAGAGATGAATCAAGAAGAATATCAGAAACTCATCGACGACATCTATGTATAAGTTGTTTTTTTTTTTGTACTAATTTATTTTCTATGCAATTGTATCTATGATGCAATGACATCTACCTAATTCGACGTTCGATGGCTAAAGTCGCATACTTTGTCCGTTCTTTTTTAGCATTCGGTTTTTTTTTATTATTAATTAAGTCGCTTGTTCCTTTATACTACTTGTAATTTGTTCATATTGTATATTTAAAATTAAAAAAAAGTAGAATCGCGAGCTGTATAAATTATTTGGCAGCATGTAGGTGTTGTCGGTTTGAATTCAACCCGTTTGGACAAACACTAGAAAACGACTTTAATTTCACAACAATTACATTTTTTATAATTTAAATAAACGTAGGTAAGCGTGTTTTAGTCCTTGTGAATTCTCAGTATTATGTATTTATATAAACTGAGCAAAAAATGTATTATTTAACGTTTTTGAAATTCTTGTAGCGTAACTTTTGTCCGTTAAACAATTATAAAATAAATATAATTGATCATATATTTTTACCGACAAACTACTTAACTACACTATTAACTACACTTATTGTTTTTTTTTTATACATAATGATGCATACAACGATGTTGTCATTTATTATTCAGTATTATATTTAAATATAATAAATTATTAATAATACTTCATTATTAATGATGAAGTTTTTTTTATTGTTTACACATTTTTAAACTTAGCTCGTATGGGGTATCTATAACATTATAATTTATTGTAAAGCGGCTTTGATATACCGCAATCTAATCCGTTCATTACGTTTGTATGAGCTCATTTTATACATTGTAAATATAGTTTTATATTTAAACATGTATTATTGGATTTAAAATAGCTGTTATATAATGTAGCTGTAATATTAGTATTTAATAGTATTAACTACAACATAGCTGTTAACTATACGCTGTTAACTAGCTGTCAAACTAACGTTTTGAGTGGTTAAAGAATCAAATGATAAACGTCGTTGAGTTGTTTAATTTAATTTCGACAGTCAATAGGATGAAATATTAAAACAGTATAATATAATCAAATAGTATAATCAAAATTTATACTAGAATTTGAATAATTTATTTGATATAATTCTTTGCCTATAATAAGATATCTATCTACTATATACTTACTATTAATAATCATAACCTATTTAAAAATAATGTAGAAGTTGGTTGTTTGGTATAATTTGTAATGGATGACTTTACATTTTACAATCATATTTTTGCCTAGCTCAATTTTTTTTAACCTGATTAAATTTGATAGAATTATTCAACTCAACGATCAACATTACTTAAATAACAATAATATTTTTTAAATGTTTGTGTTGTGTCAAAATGTTGTCATTTACTTAATAAATTTGAAAGCAGTAGGTAGTAGGTACTATTAATAATCTTGTAATAATGTTACCCATTTATGTTACACATTGTCTACCCAATTATCAGATAGTTATTAGAATATATTCAATAATTTTTATAGTAGCTAAATTTGTTTCCTAAACATATTTAGTATGGTACATGTTTAACTTTTAAATAAATTATTGATGCAGTATTATTATAATATTATGTTCACGTTGAACTAGTCAAACATACTTTAGATTTAATTACAAATAAATCTTTTTTAATTTAAAACTCGAGAAGAGGCTAAATATCGTAACAGTCTTTTTTTATACAATACATAGTACAACGGGAAATACAAGCAAATTGCTTTTATTAGTTTTCCGTCAAACTTTTAGGGTTAACTGTTGCCTGTCAATAATTTAAAAAAACACTAATTGTATACCTGCATATCTTTTGTACACGTCACGCATATAGATATCATTAATACAATATCATTATGTATATAAGTGTTAAGCAACATATCTGTAAAACATATCCTAATCGGTTTGTTTAAAACTAAAGTTCTCAAACATCTTCTCTTTCTATGTCATAAACCTGTAACGAAGTTAACACTTATCAACCTATAACTATAATACAAGTGAATAAGTTGTGAATAATCTGTTATGTTAAATATATATACAAAAACGAAAAAATGTTGAAATGACGAATTTTAATAATATCAGAGACAAATTAATAATATAACTAAAAAATAACTCTATTACTGCAATATTTTATATGACGATTAAGATTAATATTTATTATTATTAGTTACTATTAATATCCCATAGTATTATGATTATTGTTTTTTTATTATTGTCATATTTTATATAATACTAATATTATATTTTACACAAATATTTTTTGTTGACCCATTTTCCCGATTATTAATTAAATTATTATAAATATGATTTTGGTAGTTATATACTGTTAATTATTTACTTTTAATATTTTATAAAAGATAATTTGTATTCGTTTTGTTACACCTGTTACCGTTGTAATACTTACTACCCAAATATTATTGTGAATAATTATGATAATAATATTGTGTTATGTAGACAAAAATAGTGTTAAATAATAAGTTTCTGTAAAAAATATATGTAATTGATTTATTAACATAATATAATGAGATTATTTAATATTTTAACGTTATTTCTTTGTACTAGAATATGCACTCACCTATATTTCTTATAATCTTATCATACTTTATATTTTTTATTACTAGAATTTTTCATTACTTGATTACTTTTTCTTTTAGTATTGCGTTTTTTAATTACTATACTGTTTTTTTTCGTTGTTATAAAACAAGCAATCAAGTTAAGTTATTCAGACTTTTTTTTAATACAGTAAAGTAAGTTAGTTTAAATAACTTTTTTTTCTATAATGTTTGGTTTACTCAGTTTCGCGTCGGAGCTAAAATAATAAAATTGTATAAACTGAACAACATTAATGTAGATAGTGCAGACTATCAGTGTACATTTGAAGTACGAAGGGTCATGACAAGACTTGTATACCAGATAGCGCCGTACAACATTACCAGATAAAAATTATTTTACATTTTAAGTGGTATTTTGTTTTGAATAACAAATAAATGTATAAAAACGAAAACTTGATATGCATAAATTAAAAGTTTACAACGATTATGTAGGTAAAATATATGACATTACATCCACGCTACATATGCCTATTAAATTGTATTACTTATAATTGAATATTAAAATTAAATTAATTACAATTACCTTATTTGAAAATATTAAATATTTCAACTATCCCGACTTAACTTAGGTAATTAAAGCCATTTAAGCGTCCAGCCTTTCTTCTTCGACTCGAAAAATGATATTCGGTTAAATCAAAATGTAAATCTCATTCAAATCGATTTGTGTCATACCATTCCATTGTTACGTCTCGGACTTTCCGACCCTGTATTGATGCTGCTGAATAATGCTATTATGATAATATGATAGTAAAAAAAGGATTTAGTTCATAAACAGAATCTACTGTTATACTTTTTAACGTCGGGATAACGCTCTCCAGAGAAGATTACCCGAATGATTTATTTAAAACGACGTTTCTTTCATACTGAAAAATGCTTATATAACACGATAAAAGCCTGCTACTAGCCGAGGAAGTTAAAATGATATATTGTGAAATGCTCAATGTAGGCTACTAATTATTACTACTACATAACTCAGTGGCGTAATTAGAGACTAAAGCGCCCAGGAGCAAGACACAAGCAAGACTGCGAGACTGCAGCTGTCTCCCTTGCATCTACGGTAGCTACACTATTGACATAACTAGTCATTTTTCGTATATATTATGATGAATTTTCAGGCAAGGAATAAATATTATTAATTATTTTTTGTTAATTAAAAAAATAGTGATGAATGTTGATAACAAGGATTGACAGACGCTATGTACGGGGTTCAGAGTTAAAGGTACGAGTTAAAAATTGAAATTGCGCCTATGTATATATTATTTTACATGACTCATGATTATAACTTATAAGTCATAACACATTATACTTTACTTCTAAAATCGATATATCCGGCATTGTATCGAGTTGGCTATAGTCGGGATGTTGGAATATGCTGACGACGTTTCTCAATAGTATTTTTTTCTTTTTTTTCTTGACGTTTTTGTGATGACCTTGAGTCACCTATTTTTGAATAATGCTTCAGTTAAAGTCAACTTTCAACTAAATATAGCCATACTACATTAACACTTAATCGTTACCCCACACTTTTCCTCCATTCCTACCTTATATTTTCCGGTCAGCTCAACTTCACTTTTCAGTTGATAACTTCTTAAATTTAGTTTTAGCTGTTTTAGTTTAGTTTTTCCTTAACTTCCTTTCTTATTCTCTTTTATCGACTAAACCCTTCATCCCAGTTATTTCCTCTTATTAGTTAATTTTCTTATCCGCTCAACTTACGTTATCAATATTTATTTTATTTATAGTCAGTATATTATAACTAATAAAAGACTGTCCTAAATAACGTATTTGTAATGATTATTGGTCAATTAAAAAACAATAAGATTGAAATTATTGCATTATGCTAAAATGACTAACTTCGAGATGGTCTGGTATTATTTTGAAAGTACATTTAGTTGCTGTTAATACATATAACGGTTTTATTAAGGTTCCAATACACGTGCATTTTGAATGTACGACCATCATCACGATGTGTACTTAACTTCATCAAATATTTCGCCATTTCTGATCATATTAGTCAAGTTATTTAGTTTCAACGACATCGCAGTACATTTTATGACAAAACCAGAAAGTGTTAAAATTAATAAGTGTGTCCAGGATGGAATATTCGGGTAACACTTATAAACCATTACAATTTTACGCCTATATTATTGTTGAGAATATTTTTACAGTTTGTTGTTACTGGTAACAACATACAGTACACATTAATCATTTAGTTTTAATTTCAACACAGCTGATCTATAGTTAAGTAACTTATATTAATTTTGGAGTTCTCATATCGGTGTACCGATGTCTATATTTTATTATGTTGTGTATTTCTTATATTTATAATTTAATTTATTTTCGCAATTTATAGTTTTAGATTCAGTTGTTATAAGTGTTATAAGCTTTTATACGTGCCCTGATAAAAGTAATTATAAAGTATTCACAAATAAACCTGAAAATTTAACATAGTTTTTGTACTCTACCTATTTTGCTAAATGCATTCTGTTCAGTGTTCACTAATGTATTATGGAGGAAGGAGAAACCACGTGTGGTAGAATAATTACTATAAAATGTATAATGAAATAATTATGTTTTACGTATTATATCTACATTGCAAAACGTTAGGTATACCCTTGTGGTTCATGTTACACTAATGGTCGCGGAAGGTCAAAAAGGGGTTTCAACCCTACGCTTGACATTAGTATCTGCCATAAGAGGGTGGTCCTAAGAACAGAATACACAGCTGGTACAGTGGACTTTGAACACCCACTTGATCTAAACATATTTTGTTCTGCTGTAACCATCCTGCAACGTCCAAAATACATATCTAACTTTGTAGGAATATGTATAAATGATTACTGATTAGGTAGTAGTGGAACCTACAAAAGTGATAACAATAGAAAATAATATGTTGTATTTTTATTTTTAAAACTATTAAGTATTATTATTTCTAATACCGGAAAAGTTATTACAACTATCATTGTTTTAACTGTACTATTAGATACAGTGTATTATATTGAAATAACGTACTTAATTATAAAAGTTGTTTATTTTCAAATTATATTACTTTCCTTAACGTAATAGATAAATAATATTACAAATATGATAAGATGAACATAAATATTAATATTAAAACATTAATTAATAATTATTTAAAAAATGAAGTTCTTATTAGGCATATTTAAACGTTATGTAAACTTTTTTTTAATAATAATTATACTACACCCGTTATGTATGTTATCTTTATTACATTTTTCTCTGACACAATATTTTTCATTTTTCACACGCGAACTACATATTATTTAATTAGAGCAACGTCATTAAGTCTATAACTCATTTACTTTGCTATCTTTTGTAATAGTATATTACACATTTTGCCGAACACTTGGAAAAAAATACAAAAATGTATATTATTACTTATTAAAAATATTATTTATAACAAATATTTTCTAGTTCAGACGGGGCGTGTGAAGAAGGTAATTTGATGAAATTTAGCAATTATACTAAAGAATGGGTACAATTAGATTCTGATGACAAATACTATTTATAATAGGTAATACATTAATTTGAAAAATTTCAAATTTCAATTATTAGTTAATTTTGATTTTATTAAGGCAATAGGCTTACCTTATTTTATTAAACATTAAAAAACCATGTAATTATATATTTAAAAAAAAAAATGTTATTACGGCATGAAGTAAAGTATAATAAATAAAAAAATATTATCAAATATAATAAAATATGTTTGTCTCTAAAGTCTAAACTTCCTTTAATAGAAATAGTTTCCTCAAGTCCTAAATCGTAATGTTAACGGTTGTATTAAAAGCAATTTATAGTCTAAATATTTTGTCGTGTTAAAAAAAATACGTCTTTTTGGAAGACTTAGATTTCTTTATATTAATATTTTAAAGTAATTAATTTTTTTACATAATGTAAGTACTAAATACAAGTAAAAAACAACTTAAATTATTAAATTATGATTTAATCATTTTAAAAGTAAAATAACCAGTATTTTGTTATTGATTTGTATGTATGCATAATAATACCAAATACCTATCCAGGCACATAAATAGGTAGCCTATGATTTAATTCATTTTGAATGTTAATGTCGTGTTTTCATTATTAATTCGGACAAGTACTAGGTACAATTTCGATGTTTACAATGTACCTTCCTAATCCTTAAACCCGCAGGTGGTGCATAATCGTTAGTTAAATATTGTATTATGTGTAAATAGAGGCAACCGGCATTGTTTGTAGTCGATGGGTAATGGCTGATGTGTTCCGGCTACGCGGTGTGTTCAAAACGCGATCCCGCTATTATCGATCAGTGTTGTCTGTCGAGCAACTTAAAATATTCGTGACAACGCGCACGGTACAGTTGGGTTCTTTTCACAACGACAAAGCGACGCGGCACTCGTGCTTGTGCTGCTCACAGTCGGATGATATGTGTTGGTCACACTGCAAACGCCTGCAAAATAATCGGTCACCCACGCAGATAAAGGAAAAACGGAGGTACGAAAAACAAAAACCGAGATAACGCGTCCGTACTGTGTTCACGCGATGGACGGGTAGTAGTAATATTCATAATAACAACAAAAAACATTATATTAATAACGATAATTATTTAATGCAAATGTAATATTACACATCAATAGAGAACAATAGTAATACTATTTAAAAAAATAATGTTCGCT